TCTAAAATGTTGACAAGTATCACACAGATCAGTCCTAGGACTCATAATTTGAATCTCTGGTGTCAGTTGATGTCATAGTTTTCTAAATGCATCATATTTTAAGGATTTCAAATTACTATCTTCTTCCAGACCAGCCAGATAACCTCTATACACTGATTTATAACTCATTTCAGCTGGTAAAAAGATAACTGACTGAGTTATTCTATTGATACTTCTTCCTGGACTTGGTAATCCATGGACTTCTGCATAGTTTTCTAGAAAATTCTTTACTACCTCTGCAACATTTTTATCAATCACCATTTTAGTTTTCCATTGAGGCATTCTTTTAATATTGCCATGAATTCTTGGTAAAAGACCATTGTTTATCAAATGATTTCTAATATTTTCAAAATAAGTTCTACCAATTCCTAACATATTGAGATAAGTTTCTTGACAAAGATGTGTATTGTGATTTCAATGATAGAAAGTTCTTTTATTAGATCTAGTTTTCTTTTTAAGACGTCTGCTAGTGCTTATTGATCCACCATCCATTGCCTTAAGTTGAGGCATTAAAAATATGTCTTGTTCTGATTTAGAAAGAGCTTGAAAGGATTCCCTTAATTCTGCAAATTCTTCCTTGGAAATCCTTGAAGAGCAACCACAATCACAACCCTTTTCTAAAAAATCAATTGCCTTTTTATATTCATTAGAACCATTATATTTATTATTACTTTTCATATACACTTATCCCTATATATATAATTTTATAATATTATGTTCACTTTGTAGGTTTTTTTAATTTTGTTACAAATAACTACTTGATATAAAATTCAAAAATTATTAGGAATCTATGCAGCCTCTAAGTCATGTATTAAAACAAAAATGATACAATTAATAGATGGAAGATTCTTATTTAGAACAAACAACAATAGAAATGCTTTATTTAAATCATTTTCATTTATTATCTAGCATTTTTGAATTAACAGAAATAAAAAGATCACTTGATTTTTAAGGGTAGAGGATCTTCATATTACAAAATCGAATATGAAAATTGTCCATAAAAAATTCCCGTGACATATTTAAATACAACGTGACATATCTTTTATTATTCCTTTATAAAATCATATAGAATGTATTGCTAA